AGGGTTTTGTACAATCTCCATTAGTATTTGAGCATGATAAATTTTAGTCCAAATTCACTCGTCTTCAAATGCCAAAAATGATACCCTCCCATAGGAATACATTAGTTTGACGTATGTACTTTGAAATGTTCCAGCGTCTAAACTAATTATCCAAATTTAATGAAACTTGGATTCCGGTGCCTAAGAATGTAAACTTAAATTTTGAAAGTGATTTCATAATTCTAGCTACACTACAAAATAGGTACTCTAATAGGTTTCCAATTCTCCTAATATTTAATGATTTACAGACTTTTTAGCGCATAATTTGTACCAAAAGAAACTTTTTACGTTTTTATGAAAACTTAGTTATAGAATATATGTTTTTGTACTAAAAAAATTAGTACTTATTTCCTTTGTATGAAAAATAATGATTGAATAAATTATTAATTCCTATACTATAGTAGTGTTCAGTACTAAATAAATACAAAAGTTATTAATCCAAAGGGTATTAATGTTTAAAATAAAATACAAGCAAAAAACTCATTAATGTATTCAAAGGTGTGTTTCCAATAAAAGGGCGGAACACTAAACACTAAACCGCTTTCCTTTAACTCTCGTTAATCATAAATTATAATATTATATACTTTTATATACATATTTTCATTCATTACATACTTTTATTCATTTGATTAAAATTTTCATTAGAGACCCCAAAATTCACACAAACACTTTTTGATGCATTATATTTTATATAGACATTAGATATCTAGATGTGTTCATAATTACAATAATTATCGGCAATTATATAACACCAAAATTGATTCATTAGTGTGTTTTACAGTAAGTAATTTTTGGCCTTCTTTAACATTTTTACGAATTAATTATTCATGATTTCTGTAATTTTTATATAATTAACAATTAAACTGAATTTCAGTTAATTGTTGCTATATTTAGATAATTTTCTGTGTATTGATTGGGTAAATGAGGCAATTCTGCTCGACTCTGCTTTCAAATAATAGGCAAGACATGAATATTGTAAACACAAAAGACTATTTAATTGATATTTAAATAAGAACAGGAAATATAATTGTTCTATGTAATAATTTTGTATTCTAATATAATGCAATATTCATTTTTAATTGTAATAAATGTCTACCTTCTCGTATTGTCTTTAGGGTAATTCTAATAGACTTGAAATAAATAATAAAATAAATATGAACTTTTTATTACAATAAACAGTTGTAATTGTTAATAATTAAATAATACCAAGTATAGTCTTTAGTGTTCACAATGTGTTTGGTTGTTTACTACAATTTCAAAAGCACAAAGTCGGGCAATATTGCCTTTAGTATTAATATAAGGGTATACAATATATTGGACTCAAAAAATCAATCTACATATATTATATAATGCGAATTCAGTAATAATTATTAGCTGCAAATGTTTTGCATACAAATTATTCTTAAATTATATATAATATATTTAAAGTAAAAGTTATTTGAGAGGAAATGTTACTCTATTTGAATTTATATCCAATATATTGTAATTAAAAGTTCTGTCTATTTTTAACACAATCACAAGACTTAAAAACTGAACTTTTTATCTTAAGTTTTGATAAAATATGATTTAAGAACTTTCATATGATTTTAAAGATACACTAAACAATAAAATGTTACATTACATTGCAAATAAAGATTTGCATAATTATATAAAAACATGAAGACAAATAAGGAATGTATTTTTACATAAATTATATAATGTATTGTTCATTATGTATACTTAAAGTGTAAATCATATAATATTGATAAAACGCTATTTAGTACGTCAGCTCAAGTGCTAAAACACTTACGACATGACAATAACTATTTAAGCTTAACATTGGTTTCATTAAACGTTAAATAGCAGTGCAATTGATTAGATATAAAGTTCACAATAATTTTATATATAACTAATAACAGTAAAAACTACCAGAATTACGCCAAACATACTATATTTGTTTAAATCAGGTAAAATTATTTTTTTATTTTCCTTATAACTAATTAACTAATATCTATACATATAAATTATTTACTCGTTATATTACGCGAAAATCAATTATTCTCGCGATTCTTTCACAGAATCGTATGTAAAATAAAGTATAACGTTATTATTGTGTGACAATAATAATCTCGATAAACATTGATGAGTTGATTGAAATTTCCGTTTTTAATAGACCTAACTTTATTATTTTAATGCACGAGCGTTGATAGTTGCCTAGGTCATTGCATATTAAGTCATACGCAATGATAAACAAGTTTATTTTTTATGCCAAATTTATTTATAATTATTTAATTAAATAGTAAAACAAGTCTATAATAAATGATGGCAACAAACGGGCCGTCAATTGTTTGCAATGAACACAACTCGGGCGTCAATCCGTGCTGTAAAGCAATACATTTGCCTTTACTTACAGGTAATTAAAAGTTATATTTTTTATATAATTAAAAAATATTTTTAATTTTGTGTAAATAATGTGTGAAATAATGAAGACTTATATCAAATAACAATGGCTTACGGGTATTGGAAGAGTGATAAATGCAATCAGAATTCGGTGTTTGACTTATTCTTCCGGAAGAATCCGTTTGGCGGAGAGTTTACTGTATTCGCGGGACTCGAAGATGTGGTCGCTTTCCTACAAGGATTTCGCTTTACAAAAGACGGTCAGCACTTCATATCAATGCTATTTCCTATCAATCATTCATTTATTACTATTTCTCAATTATATCTCACTTTTTGCCAGATATTGAATATTTACGCAAAATTCTGCCCCAATATGTGGAGGAAGAGTTCTTCACGTATTTGTCTAATATATCTGCAAAAGACATAACTCTATACGCAATACCCGAGGGTTCGGTTGTATTCCCAAAAGTGCCGTTAATGCGAGTCGAAGGACCCCTTCCTATCGCAAATCTATTAGAAACAACATTATTAACATTAGTCAACTACGCCAGGTTAGTTATAGTAACCTTATTCATATTAATAATTTAATTAATTATTAACGTTTCACGCATAATATTAAAATTGATTTGAAAACAGTCTCATCACAACAAACGCTACGAGATATCGGATAGCATTGGATGGAAGAGATATTCAACTCTTTGAATTTGGTCTCCGCAGAGCTCAAGGCATCGATGGTATGACAAATTGCATATCAATTGATAAATTTCAAAACAAATTAATTTATTGTTTTACTTTTCAGGCGGACTTTCAGGTCTAAAATTTAAACATTTCCCTTTATTACGAATTGATTTAAAAATATTTTAAGTCAGTTTACTATTTTTATAAATAACAATCACGTTTAAAGATAACATTTAAAACAGCCTCAAAATATGCATATATTGGAGGCTTTAACGGAACGAGTAATGTATTGGCCGGTAAGATGTATGGCATACCCCTGAAGGGAACTCACGCTCACTCTTTCGTTATGTCCTATACATCTATTAATGAGCTAAATATTCGAGTAATTTAATTAAATATATAAAATAAATTATAATAATATTTACAAAATGAATTTTTAGACTCTGAAAAATAGTAAAACTGGAGAAACAGTGGATTTTGTGGAGCGTTGTCTCAAATATCAAAAAGAGTTGTCAGAACTTTTAGGAGTTCTACAATCGGAATGCAGTTCCAGTGAATTTGTATGTATTTATTGTCATTAAATCAAAGTTGTTGTTATAAACGCTCAAAATTAACATGGTCATATCATCATATGATTGCATTGAATTGAAGGCCGCATTTATCGCTTATGCCATTTCATTTCCGGACGCCTTTCTAGCATTAGTTGACACTTACGATGTGATTAGGTCTGAACCAAATAAAGTTAATTCATGTATTGTTTGCAATATTTTGTTAACCAATACAGGAGTGGATTACTAAACTTCAGTGCCATAGCGTTGGCTCTCAACGAACTCGGGTATCGTCCGATTGGTATTCGTATAGATAGCGGAGATCTGGCCTATCAGTCGTCGGTGGCCTACGATTCGTTCTGCAAAATCGGTGACAAGTATTCACTCGATTGGTTCCGAGAGCTGACAATCGTTGCGAGTAATGATATAAACGAAGACACAATCATCTCATTAAAAGAGCAAAAGCACGGAATCAATGCATTCGGAATCGGAACACATTTAGTTACTTGTGAGAGACAGCCGGCACTCGGATGTGTCTATAAGGTATAGTGATATCTATTTCTAGTTATGAGTTTAAATGTGTCAACACTTGTTGTTAAAGTTGGTTGAGATCGACGGTCACCCGTGTATTAAAATCAGTTTAGATGTGGAAAAAGTGACGGTTCCCGGAAGGAAGAGTGTGTTCCGACTCTACGGCAAAGAAGGCTACGCTCTGCTCGACATTATGCAAGGGGTCGACGAGACGGCACCGAAACCATTGTCCAAAGTTTTGTGTAGAAATCCATTCCAAGAATCAAAGAGATGTTACGCCACGCCATCCAAAGTGGAGCCATTGCTGAATATTTTGTGGCAAAACGGAAAAGTAATGTTATTTTTGTGGAAATATATTTTCAAATTTAATGTTTAATTAAATTGTTTGACGTTTAGGTTCAGCAAAAAATGCCAAACTTGGAAGAGATCCGAAATCACGTCCAAACGTCTCTCAATTCGTTGCGTTCAGACATTAAACGAAATCTGAATCCAACGCCATATAAAGTGTCGGTTACCGACAATTTGTATCAATTTATGCATAACCTATGGCTAGAGAACGCACCCGTAGGTGAACTCAATTGACAAACTTTTGATTTCAAACATTTACATACATCTAAAGTGAGATGAAATGCAATTATATTATTGCCTTTATATTAATTTTTGTTAATTATATTTTTGAATTATTATATATAAAATATATTTTTTAATATTATTATTTGTAAGAAATTCTATTGAAAAGAATGATTGTTTATTATTAAATTTATCATTATTTCAAAGTAATACAGAATTATATAGTGTTTAGATTGACAGCAATATAACCCATGGAATGCATGCCGAGTGGGCGCTCTCCCACTCACCCCCACATTAATTATCTCCAAATATATCCGTCCATCAAATTGAATAAATATCTCAAAAACTATGTATACTTTAAGAAAATTTTATTTTTACGGAATATAGGATTAGTATAATGTTATAATAAGTTACATTTTAATTAAAATAATAATATCTTAATATTTATATTATAAAATCAGAATATTTTCAATAGAATTTGGAGTATTTAACAGAATATAACAATATTGTGAACATTGCGTTACATAATGATTAGAAAATCACAAATATATGTATCAATTGAACGAATTAATTACCATTAATAAAAAGTACAAATGTCATGTTGCTTTATTATTCATTCAATATGACATTGGTAATATTTGTAAGTTAACCTTCATTTACCATAACCATTTACCATAATTCCCACTTTCATTGAAATTTCAATTATGCGAGTTTAGCGTGTTTTGTAAAGTTCGTCGCTTTATTCAAGTTTACCACTTATTTAATGGTTTACTAATTGTTGCAAAAGCACTCAAATATGGATCAATTTAAGTCAATTATAACATTTTAGTCAACTGTTAAACGAGTTTTCGATAAAATTTAGTAAAATATTGTTTCAGACGGTTTAAAGGATCGGTTAGTTTGTGTTTGGGACACATATTTATGGGCAATAGTTATGAGTATAATAATGACTATCAAAATAAGAATCATTTCAATTAAAGCTTCGTTTTGTGACTTTTAATTGTATTTGAAATATAAGTTTACTTAATAGGGAATGAATAGGGAATGTAAGCTCTCTTTGGGTGACAATAATCAATCACTTTGAAGACCAGATCATTCGTATTGCAAACATTCCGATGAATTTTTGATCCGATTTATATTATGAATACTCTTAGAAATGGTATAAAAATTATAATTACTAATAATTCTTTCCATTTTGTTGTTAACGTTTAAAATATATAAGAAATTAATTGTTAAATGTGTTAATAAATAATTGTTATAAATAAATGTAATAAACAAGAAATCACATTATATTAATAAAAACCGTTAATCGATGTTCGCGTATATACTGTATATATTGGGAAAATCAATCGCTTTCGCACTCAAAGCTTCGGTCGTGTTTTGGTAGACTATTGCGGATTTGGTCCAACTTTTGCAACTCATTGCTGACTAGTTGTGAATAGTGTTGTCGTTTCAATTTGACGGTTCGGTACGGAAATGGATTCAATTCACAGAACGCTATGTAACACAACTGCCGGACATCGATATGCCTTTCGCCGAGTGTTCGCAACAACTGATTGATGGCCACAGAGTCAGCCATTTTCAGTATCACCTCTTCGTGCAGTTTGAGGAATGAGAGCGCGAACCGAAACAACACTTTATTGCCTTCGTATAGGAATACGTCCCAAATCCTGAGATACACGTCGACTGGAATGTTGTCCACGAATGCCGTCAAAAACCAGCTAAAAAGCGACAATTCGATGCCCTGTTGTTCCAAATGCTGGTATAGTTTCGGCAACTTTTCAGATAACAGATGCCTTAACACGTATTGATCGACATGTGCTCCTAAACACACCAAACGTTTAGTAAATCATTTATTATAAATAACAATACAATTGAGTACCCAATAGATTGCGGCCAAAGTAGTCGTTGGGCATAATTGTCTCAACAATGGCTACTAAACACCAAAAGGCGTCCTCTTCTGGCATAAAGAGTAGGGCAACGGCTGCCAAACGGTTCAAACCCTGACAGTAGCCGACGGCCTGATTGTGACGACTGAATGCCGTCAACACGCGTCGCAAACGTGCCGTTCCGTCGGACTCCAGGTTTTCAAAGTGCTTGTTCTGAGGCAAAGTCCTCAATAAGTCTAACTCTATTTGTTTGGCCGATGGGTCGAGGCTTTTGGTGCCCGGGCTTTGGTTTTGTTTCAATAATGTCGGGTAATAATTGGTCCCGCATTCAGACATTTTGTGTTTGACGCGCATATATATAATACAGCGCCATATTTTGCATCTATACTCCTGAGGAATGCCTGTCCTCAACATTGCCTTCAATTCTTGCGTTCTCTGCAATTCATGATTATTAAGATTACCGACAAATGAATCCCACTTTGATTTCCATAATATTTTGGCCTTAGAATCAGTATCTTTGGAGTTATGCTTATCTTTATTGAGTTCATCACATCTATTACTGGAGTCTTCTTTAGTGGCGTAAGAATACAAATCATCGGAAACGCTATCGAAATCGCAATTCTTGTAATAAAAGCCTAAATCGTCGTAAAGACCAGTTTTGGATGACACGGATTCACAATTTCTGCCTTTATTTCCTGGTTTCCAACTCAGAGGAATATCCAACGATATGTCCTCAAGAAGTCTGTTGACAAGAGTCTGCACGGGTTCGGCATTAGGACTCGCGGTCATCGATCTGTCGACTGCATTGATTGGCGTTTGACTGTTTTGATTGATTTCTTTGAGTAGAGACAGGAGTTTACTTTGAATTTGACAGCACTTGGCTTCGAGTTCGCAAATTCTGAGCTGAGATTCTTTGTCTTTCATTTCTATAACATTTCTCAATTCATTCAATTCAACGATTTCTCGGTTCAGGAATTCATTTTGTGTTTCAAAAGCACGAACGGTGTCACGAAGACTATCCAATTCATTGGTTTGCACTTTAATTAGTTTAGGAGTAGTGATCGCCGGCGACCAGTCGCTCGACTCACTGCTCACCACCTGTGGACTAAAGCACTCACCCTTTTCTGCCTCTAAAGTGTAGATCTGGTGCGTGAGTGAGACATACATTTCGTCTCTCGATTTAAGCATTTCTTGCAAAACACTTAACTCTTCATTTCGTTTTGCAATTTCAGCCTTCAGTGTCTCGTTCTGTGTCTGAAGTGACTCTTCGTTTGCTTCTTTGTGCCGAAACTCAATCCGCAATTTAGTTAACTCTTCGTTATTGTGACTCAATTGTGTCAATAAGTCGTTTGACTCAACGTTTGCGCCATTTCTGCAAATGTCTTCCAAGAGTTTCTTCTCATTGCTCACGATTTCCAACTGTTTCTTCAATAGTCTAATGGCTTCACGACTCGCCTGTAATTCAATTTCAACGGCAGACAAATCATCGGAAACTGAGACCAACTGTTCCTCTGATTGTCGACATTTTGGGCAACAAATGGATTCATTGTTTTTATCACTGAATTTCAACAGAGATCTGATTGGACTCGAAATACTATCCGATACTTTTGTCCGCTGTTGCGGAGGAATGTCCACATTTTTGGACTTCATTTTGTTGACAATTCCACCGAAAATCTTGTGTTTAGTCGCCGGAGAATCTGTCTCTTTGGGAGACAACGAGTTATCGTTGCTTTTCCTACGATTCCAATGCTTTGATTGCAAAGAATCGATCGATTCGTTCATTTGGTTGTCTATTGAATGGCCGTAAAAGACAGAACGCGAGCCATCGCTGTCCACATCTGCTCATTAAACGAGTAAATATAAAGTAATGTTAAATAACACGTAAATGTATTAGTCATACAAATAATTACCACTTTTGTTATCATAATTAATGTCTTGGTTGATGTGATTGACAGCTAATTTGACGCCAAACTTATTGGCCAAACCAATGATGTACTTCTTGCGCAATGTCTGCAAACGTGTCAACCAATGCAGACACTGTTGGCTGTCATTGGCCTCGAGTGTCACCTCTTTGGCCAACGATATGATGGTAAATATTGTGGGCGTTTTGATGGTGAAGGTGGCCCTCCGGACGTCGATCTCTCCCAACGGCACCAAATCATCTCTTGTCCGGTAGTAATAGAGGACACAATTGTTGACATTGAATACAAACCAGCGTTTCTTCATCGCCCGCAGCGGTCCTCTTGAGCTCAGTTTGAGAAGATATCCCGACAGAGATTCGGTCACATCATTGGTGCTCAACAGTCCTCCAGAACGAGTCCATCCCATTAGTGATGTGTTGTCTGTATTGCACTCAACGCCCGATGTCCTCTTGAGCTCAGTTTGAGAAGATATCCGGACAGAGATTCGGTCACATCATTGGTGCTCAACAGTCCTCCAGAACGAGTCCATCCCATTAGTGATGTGTTGTCTGTATTGCACTCAACGCCCGATACATCACTGGTTTCGGTCATTGCGGACAAGTGTTGGTCACCACGTCTTCATCGGCTCATCACTCGTCCCAATGAAAGCCATATTTGACTTCAAAAATCAAACAACATTTAAAGGACCAAAACTTGACACAAATGTAAACAATTGGCAACAAATCAATTGACACCTCAAACCAGCCATTCATAGACACCGTTACGTAACTCTCTATATGTGTGCCCCTATTCATCACCCCATCATATAATTCTCACTTTTTATCACTATTGCTATGATATTAATTATATTCATGTATTAATGCTATTGAAATAAATGTGATATTTTTACATGTGTTGACTCTTATGAGATGATTTGCATTGAGATGTATTTGCTTTTGTCATAAGTTATCAGTGATTAAAATATAAAACATAAAAACAAAACAATTGTAATAAATAACGCAATGAAGTGATGAAAAGTGTGTTGCAATGGATTCTGTGAAATAAATGACAAGTCTTTTCACAGAATTTCTATGAATGATATAATATTCTGCATATTCTGTAATACAAACCATAAGCTAATAGCGGTATAATTGCCTGATGTGTGCATTCATTAGCTTTACATTGAATTGAGTGCTCATATTATACAACAATTGTTGTCAATTAGGTTTTAGAAAATGTATTTTTAAGCATTAATTCAATGCAATATTGGATTCATGTCCTCTTGAGCTCAGTTTGAGAAGATATCCCGACAGAGATTCGGTCACATCATTGGTGCTCAACAGTCCTCCAGAACGAGTCCATCCCATTAGTGATGTGTTGTCTGTATTGCACTCAACGCCCGACACATCACTGGTTTCGGTCATTGCGGACAAGTGTTGGTCACCACGTCTTCATCGGCTCATCACTCGTCCCAATGAAAGCCATATTTGACTTCAAAAATCAAACAACATTTAAAGGGACCAAAACTGGACACAAATGTAAACAATTGGCAACAAATCAATTGACACCTCAAACCAGCCATTCATATACACCGTTACGTAACTCTCTATAGTGTGCCCCTATTCATCACACATCATATAATTCTCACTTTTTATCACTATTACTATGATATTAATTATATTCATGTATTAATGCTATTGTAATACACAATAAATGTGATATTTTTACATGTGTTGACTCTTATGGGATGATTTCCATTGAGATGTAAATTATTTGCTTTCGTTAGAAGTTAATAACTTCAAGTTATCAGTGATTAAAATATAAAACATAAAAACAAAACAATTGTAATAAATATCGCAATGAAGTGATGCAAAGTGTGTTGCAATGGATTCTGTGAAATAAATGACAAGTCTTTTCACAGAATTTCTATGAATGATATAATATTCTGCATATTCTGTAATACAAACCATAAGCTAATAGCGGTATAATTGCCTGATGTGTGCATTCATTAGCTTTACATTGAATTGAGTGCTCATATTATACAACAATTGTTGTCAATTAGGTTTTAGAAAATGTATTTTTAAGCATTAATTCAATGCAATATTGGATTCAATAGAAACCACTGAATGGACCGTTGAATGCATTTAAAGCGCTCTAATAAATATCAATACAATCAATGATTTTGCTTAAAACATATTAATTAAATGTAATTAACTCTTAAATACATGACATATTAAATGCAAATTATATTCTTATCGATTGAAATAATTCTCAAAATTATATATTATATAAGTATTTCGTAACAAAACGGAAGTGAATTATCGCTTAGTTCTCAAACTATTCATTTCTTTAAACACCGAGAGATTGAAAAAACGAAGAGAGAGAGAGAGAGAGAGAGAGAGAGAGAGAGA